AGCCACCTTCGATAGCGTCTCCATCCTCACCATGCTCACCATCATTCACCATCAACCGTACCCTCATTGTCGCCGTCGTCATCGTCATTGTCACCACCACCCATCATCAACATCACCATCACCATCATCATCATCACCACCAGCAGCATCATCATCATAATCGGCATCATCAACATCATCATCAACATCATCATGATCAGCATCACCATCATCATCATCATCATCATCACCACCATCACAATCATCGTCATCAGCACTGTCATCGTCACCGTCACGACAACCACCAACATCACCATCATCAGCATCATCAGTATCATCATAATCAGCATCATCATCACCATCAGCATCATCATCACTACCATCATCACCAGCATCATCACCACCAACGCCATCATCATCAGCAACAGCAGCAGCAGCACCACCACTATCACCACCATCGTCAACATCATCATCATCATCATCATCATCATCATCATCATCATCATCATCATCATCATCATCATCATCATCATCAGCATCGTCATCGTCATCGCCTTCGTCATCGTGATCATCATGGGCATCGTCATCACCACCACCACCATCATTATCATCACCACCACCACCATCATCATCAGCAGCATAATCATCATCATGATCAGCATCATCATCCTCATCCTCATCCTCATCCTCATCCTCATCCTCATCCTCCCTCCTCATCCTTATCCTCCTTCACCCTCCTTCTCCTCTTTCTCCTCCTCCTCCTCCTCCTCTTCCTCCTCCTACTCCTCCTCCTCCTCCGTCCCCTCTCACTCCTCCTGCTCCTCCTCCTCCTGCTCCTCCTCCTTTTCCTCCCGCGCCTACTCTCGATCCTGTTCTTCCCTCATCCTCATCCTCCCTTCTCCTCTCTCCTCCTCCTCCTCCTCCTCCTCCTCCTCCTCCTCCATCCCTTTTCCTTATCCGCCACAGTGCCTTCAGCACGATGTGGAGCGTCCAACCCAAAGGCTCATGCAACTGTACGAGTTCGGCGGATTGTAAAATTCTTAAGGGCCAGCGGACCACGATTTCCTATAAATTCCCAAGCGTTCTTGGGTGTTCCCAGGTGCTCCTCCGGGGCGGTGAACCCGCCCAGAACGACCTGACGAGCCTGCAGGAGTCTCCCGAGAAGCGCCCAAGACGATCCTAGAGAGGGCCGAGACGGCCCTTGAGGGCCTAAAGACAGCCCACGATGGACCCAAGACGGCCCCGAGAGGCTCCCTAGACACTCCAATACGCCCCAAGAAGGCTCAGAGAGGCTGCCCAAGAGGCCCATTTAAGACATCGCGCCTTTTCGAGCGGCCGACGCTACAAGACGGCTCCAAAGGCGCCCAAGATCGCCCCGAGACAGTCCAAAGGCTCCAAGAGGGCCCCAAGAAAGCCTCAAAGGGCCCCGAAGACGGCGCAAGATGGCCCCAAGAGGGCTCCATCATGGGCCCTAGAAGGGGAACTCGAACTGACATGTTGAGCCCTCTGCCCCAAGATGACCCCCGAAACCCTTAGCATGCCCCTAAGAGGCCCCTAGAACCTCCCACGAGGCCCCCAAGACCCTTGCACGGATAAAGGGAGGCCCCCCCACACCCAGCGGAAGGCCGCGCTGTAAGGCAATGCGCAGTGCTTCGAAATACACGCCCATTATTGCGAGGGACACATCGCTTCCTCATCAATGTTGAAATGCTGGGCGATTCGATGTCCTCTTGCCTAGACCCGACAGGGGCGCATGTTTCGTAACCAGCGGAAGCAAATCACAGTCTCCAAAGCTGCTAAAGATGGCCTCCACGATGGCCCCAGTTGGCGCTAAGATGGAGGCAGTCTCACCTCGAGACTCCCGAGGAAGCCTCCAGGAGGCAAAATCACCTCGCAGTACGTTCTGAGTGTACTTGGAATTCTCGACTCTGCTCCTTCAAATGGGCCCTGAAAGCCCGACGACGGCCTGAAGCTGGCCCTTGAGAGCCCCAGGATGGCCCGAAAGTCGACTCCAAATGTTCAGGGACGCGCCCTGATTTGCAGACGTGCGCCCTCATTGTCAACCCCGTCAGCAACGCCAATACAGAACAGTCGACGCTCACGACCTCCCTACCCTGACATCCTTCGCTCATCCTCCTGCAAGTCCTCTCCCTGCTCTCCCACTCTGCCTCCTTCGACTCGTTCTCCTTCGCCTTGTCATCCGCATCGTATCGCTCCTCCTCCTCCTCCTCCTGCTCCTCCTCCTCCTCCTCCTGCTCTTCTGCATCCCCGCGTGGGCCGAGCAACTCGGGAAATTGCCATGAAGCCGCACCTTACAGCTACCTGCTGTCCGAGCCCATAACCGCCTCAGGATTACATCACCACCGAGCTGCAGCTACCTCATAGCGGCCCCAAACGGCCGAGCATCTACTCTGCCAGGTCTGCCACCATCTCGCAGCGATGCCAGAGGTAATTACCCCTGAGCGCGCTTCATTGTCATGTCACTGCAACATGCCTCACTGGGGGGCTTACACTGCCGCCT